CTCTCTCTCTCTCTCTCTCTCTCTCTCACTTATTTATTCTGTTGAAGCTGACTGATAGCACATACAGTGCACATAGACATTCTGGGACGGACCAGTTGTTATTACCTTGGGGCTAAAATTTCTTAGGGAGGAAGGTGTGGAACCATGCATTTAACCCTCCTTTGTTTTTGTTTTTTTTGCTCCACTGTGTGTGTGTGTGTGTGTGTGTGTGTGTGTGTGTATGTACATACACTCTGAGGTTGATACTACTTCTCAACACATTGTCTGAAGGTGTTAGGTCAGTCACTGTCTCCTGCATTTATTCTGAAGGATTTTGCTGAAGGCTAAACACACACACACACACACACACACACTTGTGTTTATATAATGTTATGACAGGATAGAGGGTCGTGTGTGTGAGGTGATGCAACACAGTGGTAAACATGCTCCCAACTTTTTTTGAAACGTGTTGCTGGCATCAAAAATCGGCATATATTTTTCAAAAAACAATAACATTTTTCAGTTTTGAACATTCAACGTTGTCCCAATCCTGAAGGAGAATGTCCGCCTGTCAGTTTGTGACCTAAAGCTCAGTTGCAGTTGGTTTATGCAGCATCATGATGATCCAAAGCACACAAGTCCACCATCACGTTCTGTCTTGAATCCCATTGAGATGCTGTGGCAAGACCTTAAACAGGTGGTTCATGCTTGAAAAGCTTCCAGTGTAGCTGAATAGAAACAGTTCTGCAAAGAAGAGTGGGCCGAATTTCCTCCACGGTGATGTAAAAGACTGTCACAAGTTATCGCAAACGTTTGATTGCAGTTACTGCCATGGGCTTCACGACCAGTAATATGGTTTAGGGGCAGTTACTTTATTTAAAAGCATGTGTTTAGTCATGTTCTCTTATATTAAATTTAGTGTGTGTATCTCGTCATATTTTTCAGCTCAAATTGTCTTTTTAGCTCAAAATTGATCCTAAAGAAAGAATTTTTGTCTGTTTAAAAGGCAGTGAATTTGTTATAACTATACATTATTGGATGCCCAAACTTTTACATGCGACTGTATGTCAGTGGCACAGGTATGAAATTAAAGCCCAAACCCAATCTGTACCTGTGAGTTCGAGACAAAACCGGGTCCAGCTGGTTCTGAAAAGAAATTGTGTGGTACTCAGGTAAACTGATATTTAACACATAATCTAATGCAATAACACGTTAGCTAACACACAACAATATTTATTATCAGTGCATTTCTGTGGAAATGCCTGTCATACCTAGCAGAGAACAGCTTCCACCTTCCTCTGATCAACTGTTAGCTCCACTTCCCTAAGATTCCTGCGCTGCTGCTGCTACTGCAGAAATGTTGAACATACTTTGAGTGAACTTAATAAGTAAGGAGAAACATCTGCTGTGACCTTTCTACCAACCCAACACATCCCTCTCATCATTCATGGTGTGACTGCAACTGATGTACTATTGAACTTCATGCCCAGTTGATTCACAGGCGCATTCACCCACTCCTCAAACTCCAGAGCTATGCCAAACATGCCTCACATTACGAGGGGGGAATGGGGGAGGGCATGCAAAGAAGAGAGAGACCACACGAGCGTGCAAGAGAGAGAGCATGAAAGAAACAAAATCTACTATAAAAAAATCGCTCATTTAACCTGAGCTCAAACCAAGCCAAGTACTGCACATGAAAGATCAGCCCAAACCCAAACCTAGCCAAAACCCAATATTTTGTCGGTCTTTGTCGAACTTCATCAGAATGTGTTTAATACTTGATTTAATACACAATAATTTAGTAACGTTATTTTAATCATGTGTTCACAAGTTGAGCCTGAACCTAAACATTAAAATGACATGATTTCATAGGGTGAATGTAGTTTCCAATTTATGTCACCATCCAGTGAGAGCAACAGTGGCTGCATGTTCCAGCCAGTGAGTGAATAATCATATACACCAGTGAGTCAAAGCATTATAACGATGCACAGATGAAATAAATAATGTTGATTATCTCATAACAAAAGTGCACATCAAGGTCTGGGATGTATTAGACAGTAAGTGAACAGTCAGTTCTCATAGTTGGTGTATTGGATGTGTGAGAAATGGGCAGGCGTGAAGACCTGAGTGACTTTGACAAGGGCCAAATTATTACGGCCAAATGACTCGGTCAGCGCATCTCCGAAATGGCAGGCTTTGTGGTGTGCTTCTGGGCAGCAGTTGTGAGTACCTGCTGACAGTGGTCCAAAGAGGGACAAACCATGAACCAGCAACAGGGTGTTGGGCAACCAAGGCTCATCAATGCACAAGAGCAACCAAGGGCTATCCTGTCTGATCTAAACCGACAGAAGGGCTATTGTAACACAAGTCACAGAAATTTTTGATGATGTGTCATAACACACAGTGCATCGCACTCTGCTACATATTGCGTTGCATAGCTGCAGACCGCTCAGAGTGCCTTTGCTAACCCCTGTCCATCTTCGTAAGTGTTCATAGAGTTGGAGCTAGTTCTTGGAGCAATGGAAGAAGGTTGGCTGGTCTGATGAGTCCCTTTTTCTTTCACATCAAGCGGATGGCCAGGACAGTGTTCTGCTGGGAAGCTCAGCATCTGACATTCATGTTGACACAATTTGACACATGCCATCTATCTAAAAATCGTTGTGGACCAGGTCCTCCCCTTGATGGCAATGATACTCAGTATGATTATGCACTGTGCCATACTGTGCACATTGTTAGGAAATGGTTTGAGGAACATGATAAAGTGTTCAGGGTATTCACCTGGCCTCCAAATGCCCCAAATCTCAATCTAATCCAGCATCTGTGGGATGTGCTGGAACAACAAGTCTGATCTCTGGTGGCACTACCTCACAACTTACAGAACTTACAGGATATACTGCTGACGTCTTGGTGCCAGACACCACAGGGCACCTTCAGAAGTCTTGTAGAGATCATGTCTTGGCAGGTTGGGACTGTTTTGGTGGCACACAAAAGAATCAACAACATATTAGGCAGGTTGTCATGCTTTGGCTCACCCTATATACAGTTAATGGTTCCAACTCATCAGTCATTGCAGCCTCTCACTTTCACTCTTGTTTATACAGTTCATGGATTCTTGTTAGAAAGGATGCTTTTGAGGGGAACTGTATATTTCCACTCTGTTATTGTTTTAGATAGTTGGCTGCATGTTGCCACAGGTCTCAGACGAGCACTGTCCAGTGTAGTCTGCCAACATTGCTAAAGATGTTACTTTAAAAGCTGTATCTGAACAAGAGGACTGCAATTACATATTCCATCATATGAACATACAGTGTGGGAGCAGCTGGGTTTTAGCCTGCTCTGGTGCTAACTGTTCCGCAGCATTCAAAAAATTTGATGGCATGATAAGTTATTGCGTTAATGTGTTAACTTTGACAGCTTAGTTTTTATATCCTTTACACTGTGTGAATACTTCGTGATAAACTGACCAACTGCAAATTGTCCAAGATAAATTAGAATAAAGTCTCAATAATTTAATGTGCTTTAAAGCCAAGAGTGCTTTTCCTTCACCTATAAAGTTAAAAATTTTGGAGATATAAGATTTTGTAACAACACTGATAATATATAAGTATCTGTGTTTAGTAAGATTTTTCTAAACTTAATCATAACCTTTACCGCAGTGACCTATAGGAATGGCTTTACCCTTTCAGTTCTGACCATGAAACATAGCAGTTTAACACAGTCCGGATCATTTTGGTGCTTCTAATTTTGTGAGTAAGGCCTGTTTTTCTTTGGTTTTCCTGAAGCTGGGACCTGAAAATGTGTGAAAATACACATAAAAGCATGCACAACTTACACAAACATTCTCAGTCACACATTTAGGGCACCTTCAAGGCAGCGGACCTGTATAGTGACCTCATGATGTGATCACTTAATGACCCATGTTACCAGCACAGTGTTGCCAAGCTGCAAACCTGCCAACAGCAGAGTAATGTGACCGTACTCACTGTGTGTGTGTGTGCGTGTGTGTGTGTGTGTGTGTGTGTGTGTGTGTGTGTGTGTGTGTGTGGAGGGGGGAGTTGAAGGTGTGAGTGAGAGGGAAGCAATAGCTGTAGCTATGTGGGACTATTAGCGATGGGTTTAATTAAATCAGCATCGATTGCCGTTCTCTGACATTAGCGTGGGTGTGTTACTGATTGATTGATGGGGTGTTTGGAGAGAGAGATCAGAGCTCGATTGGCTGTGGATCAGTATCACGCTCTAACGTCTCTACAGAGAGAGAGAGAGAGAGAGAGAGAGAGAGAGAGAGAGAGAGAGGGAGAGGGAGAGGACCCCGCACCCATTAGCCAGGCTGTCACACTAATATATCCATATTTTGCTTATAATTTTGAGTTTTTAGCAGTTTGCTGCTGGTCACATGGCCATTATCAAATCACTATAATTTCTCTCAATATTTTGTTAATAGAAATTTCTGCTTCGTGTGTCCTTAAAGTGGCTAAGTGCTCAATTCCTGTAATTTAGTTAACAGACTCTCTGTTTCTATCCCCCTCAGTTCCGCCATCATCCTTTCTGAGTGATGAGTATTAATCCATGAATTCAGAATGATTCCATTCAATTATGATTCTTCAGGAAACGATTCAGTGCATCATGAATGTCAGATTTCTCCCCTTTTTTAATTTGATTCGATTTGATGCACAAATGTGACTGAAAGAGCTGTTTACACAGTAAAACAGCACAGCAATACATACTTATTTTTATTGAGCATTGAACATTTTTGCAAAGATTTTTACATTGAAATACATCCTGAGAATTTTATGTTGGCCATAAAATGAGTGCATACTTTGACATTTTATAAGAATTTATTGATTCTAACTTCCTAAAATTGATGCCTTTGAAATGCAGTTGCAACATATATCTTGATGTGTAAGTGCGTTATTACATCCGTATTTTCAGTATAATTTGTCATTTTAATCTCTCTCTCTCTCTCTCTCTCTCTCTCTCTCTCTCTCTCTCTCTCTCTCTCTCTGTCTGTCTGTCTCTCTCAGGAATCTCTCTGGAGAAGGTCTTTGACTACAGTGAGTACTGGGAGGTGACGCGTGGCCTCTATGCTCCTTTTGACTGCACAGCCACTATGAAGTCTGGGAACGCGGATGTGTATGAGAATGAAATCCCCGGAGGCCAGTATACTAACCTGCACTTCCAGGCCCACAGCATGGGTCTGGGTAACAAGTTTAAGGAGGTGAAAAAAGCGTATGCTGAGGCCAACAAACTGCTGGGTGACCTTATCAAGGTAAAACGACCCCTCTCCATCTCTTGCTGTCTCTCTCACTCACTCTTTTATCGACTCTGTCAATAAATCTCTGTCTCTAATTTTGTTCAAAAGCATTCCCGGGGGTACATCATGGAATTTTGTATTACATTAAATTGATACTGCTGTCCGACTTTTCCTATGCAGGTTTCTGATTCTAAAACACGATGTTCAAGTGTCCTTCTGCTTCAAATGTGAGCAGATTAGAATCCTGGATAACCCCAGTGCCAGTTTAGTCTTTACATTATAGCTAGTAGGGTTAGGGCCATATATAATAATAATTTAATAACATATATGATGATATGATATTGTGATAAATCACAGTATGCTTTTTTGAGTATATCATGGGTATCATCAGTACTTCTTGAAGACTGAAAACTGCATGTATCATAAAAAAGAACTAGATCTAGGCTGTATTTAAATATAGAGGGTTATAAGAGGTACAGACCAAATATAAAGAGTTAGGAGACACTAACAAACAGGGTACAGTAACTGCATAAACAGCATAGTAACAGGTAACTAATTGAATCAGCCTATGATGTAATTATCTTGTTTTAGTTTTATATTTTTACAAGTTATTTAATTTTAACTGTTCCATTTTAAATTGGAAAAAAAATGATGTGCCTGTTTTTGTCCAGGCAAATTTTTTGCCCTTTAAATGCAGAAATCTTCATAAAAATATGAGTATTGAGATGTGAAGTTATTAGAGATGGCCCCATGTCTCTTTTTCGGTACTGATACGGTTATTGAAACCTTGATGCTGATACTGATCCAATATTTTTCCTTTAAAACTACTAAACTTTAAAATAAGCTATTTTTAATTTTTGCAAAAATGACACATATCTTAGATTTTTCTGAAATTTTATTTTTCCCCACTTAGTGTTTGTGTGGTTTTATGTACTAAAAACAGTTGATTCATTTTTACAACCGCTTTTTAACCTTTTTAGCTCTTAGAATTTAACTATTTTCAATGTGAATTTCATTCAGTGTGAATAGGTGGCGCTAAACTGCTGTAGGCTGAATAGGAGGGTGTATGTAAATGCACTGTTTTTTGTGACATTACAAAAACAATTACTTGACAACAGGTTGCATTTGCAACTGGGTTTCCAGATATGGACCATATGGATTGTGGAGTAAGCAGTATGTTTTGAAACTGTATCTATGGATACATATTACATCAAACTGTTTTACTGCCAGAGCAAGATTTGGTTTTCCAAGATATGGACGCTTTAAAATAAGCATCTAAAAGTGGGCAGTCATGCTCTCTCTACTATCCCACTGGAAGAAATACACAGCTAACATCACATCACACAATGTGAGTGTGTGCTGTTTCAAGCTAGATTTGTTACAGGATTGAATCAGATTAATTCTTTTTTTTTCTCCCCGTTCAGTATCCTGTCCAGAATTTTCTACTGACACTGATACCCATCAATACTGATATATTCCATCTCTACTTATTAAAGATGGGCAGTATTTACTAACAGTAACTAATATTCACTCTGACTAAAAGACAAATAACATTCATTATACAACCATGTTGTATAAGTTCATTATATACAGCCAGAGGAATCCCTGTTTTCTAGTTTAGCGAATAATCCTAGTTAGCTAGGGTTCGTTGTTGGAGGCCAGAATAGAGCTGTTCAGAGCTTGTCAGCACCTTGTAGAATGCATAAGCCAGGGAAGGTGTTTCATCATTGCTCTTTGCTGCAGAGACTCAGAATGCTAACCTGCCGCAACTCTGACTAATATTATAACCTTCCAGAACTTTCTGCTTCTGAAACATTGATTAGCCCTTGCAGCTATAGCGTGTGTCTTCTTGTTAACAATCGGTGCCATCTGCCAGCATCTAGTTCTGTCTTGCCAACTTTCCCCCTCTAGCTCAAGGCTGAATGAAACGAACACTGATCAGTTGAAATGTATCTGGCATGCTTTAAATTTTGCCCCTCCCCTGTACGCTTCCTGTTCAATGTAATCAATTACACAGCCTCTCCACTCGAGTTTCCACAAATGCATCTGCATCTTATTGTTATTCAGTTCACACACGCTCTTATTCTCATCCCTTCCTGCACTCGTTTTTCCACTCCATCTCTCTCTTTCATTCAAATTCATGAATTTAGAGTGAATGGTTAGTATCTGGGGTAGGGCTGCATTCAGAAGGATGTTTTGGTATCAGTCAGAAGATGTATGGAAACACTGTTGGTTCATTGTAGGCATGTTTTTGGTGGAGGTCGACTGTTTTGGGTTTTGTTCGTTTGTTTTTTTACTACTGTATGTCTTGTCTTGGTGCTTCAGTAAAACAGAGGCACCTGAGGGAGTCATGTCTGTTCAAGTACTGTCAGCAACAAGCTTCTCCACTCAAGACATAAGCTGTCCTCTCAGCGCCAAGACTTTATCCAACCTGACATAATAAAGTAAATCATAAAAGTATGAACACTCATTTTATTACACTCAGTACAGCTTCCTTCTGATTGGCTACCTGAGTCATACACTCTCATTGACTAGCTGTGTCCTGTTCTCTGACTGGCTAATTGAATCTGGCAATCTAATTAGCTAGCTGAATCCTGCAGTCTGATTGGTTAACAGAGAGTCCTGCACTCTCTTTGGCTACATAATTCCTGCATGCTGCAATCTGTTTGGCTAGCTGACTCCATTGCTGTAATTGGCTAAATTATTCCTACACTTTGATGAATACTGCACTCTTATTGATTAGCTGGATGCTAATTAACTATTTGAGTCCTGCGTTCTGATTCGCTGGATAATTCCTGCACTTTGTTGAATCCTACCCTCTCATTTACTAAACTGCAACTAAATGCTGCAGTCTAATTGGCTAGCTAAGTTCCTTGCTGTGATTCCTGCACTTTGAGTCCTGCGCTAGAATGATGCTATTGGATTGGCTAGCTGAATCCAGCACTCTGATGGGATAGATTATTTCTGTACTTAGATGAATCCTACAGTCTGATTTAATGCTACTCTCTGATTGGCTGGTTGAGTCCTGCAGTCTGGGCTACTTTCCAGTGGACAACGGAGAATCATTTTTATGCCTCGCTATGTGTTGGTGTCTATTTTCCATCAACATATTGTTCTCATTGAAAACAGTGGCATGAGGTGCGTTTTTGATGGATACCAAAATGAGCATCGCTTAATATGATCAGTGTGATATCCCATTTACTGGCACTGTGTCTTTGCACTCTCTCTCCCTCTCTCCCCATCACTATCAATCTCTTCCTGTCTTGAGCAAACAGACATACACAGTTGCTGTCTCAGTCCTTCTTCTTTAGTTATACTTACAAACACACAAGCACACACACACTCCTTGAGTTCAGAGCTCTTGCTGTCCTGCCGATGGCCAAACAGATGCACCCTGTCAGCCTGCAGGAGATTCACAGCACAATAACGGAAGAAGGAGTAAACACTCAGAGAGAGAGAGAGAGAGACTGATAGATGGAAGTAAGAGGATTTCAGTGTGTGCAGATGCATGTGTGTGGATGTATGCGCAGAAGTATGTGTTCTGTATATGAGTGTGAATGTGATGAGTGTGTATGTGTGATTCCTCTGCCTCGCTGTGTGTCTGATCCCGTTTTAATCCTGTCTCAGGCTCATCTTATTACATTTTCCTTGACAGCTTCCATAACTGGTGCTGACGGTAGTTTGGCCTGAGCTAGCCTAAGCGTGGAGCTCAGGCACTTAACAAAACCCCTATCCAATTAAGACACTATAGATTTTCAGGCCAAGATTTAAAACCCTAGTCAAACTGAATGCTGGACATTCAGGGCCTTATTTGTCAGCTCCTTTCAACAGCACCTGGTGCTCCTTTAGTCCATTCCAGGCTCAGAGAAAACAGCCAAACAGATTAGAGCTAAATTAATGCTTCAGGCAGTGAGTAGAGGATTGATGGTGGGACTACAACTCCCATTAGGCCATGCAGTATATGGTTTTGTGTCCATGCCAAAGCGCTAACTGTGGTAGGACGGAGCATTTAAAAAGAAGCATATTAACTGGGTTTAGCCGGTTCTCTGTGGAGTGATTTGATTATTATATTGCAAATTAATGCAGTGTTTAACACTTTTGAGAGATACAGTTCAGCTCTTAATGGAATGAATTGGAGATGTCATTATTTGTCAAGTACCATGAGGAAATAGGGTGCAAGAATGCTACCGTTCAAAAGTTTGGAATCAAAGTTTTGAATAATATAAAACCAATTTGGTTTCAGTTAAATGGAGAAGATTAATTCAGTATGCTAGTCCTGTGCAAGCTCATAGCTTTCAAATAATTATTGTTCAGCTAGGTAGCTTATAAAAAAGTTAAATGTGTCCAGAATAATAAACAGAGCTGTAGGTGCTTCTAAAATGACTGAGAAAGCTGTGTAGCATTAAGAATGAAGGTCTAATACAATTAACATCCAGAAGACCTTGTATTTGAAAAGTGGTGATCGAATATTGAGGTAGACAACTTGACAACAGTGACTGTTAATAGATCATTTCAGTGTAGAATTTACAATATATCATTACTGAAAATCATTGAAATATGGATTTGCTCAAAGACCTTAAAATATTGAAAAAACACCTAAAAATACAACCTTAAAAAGGAGTTCTTTAGGGGTTCTGTAGTAAAGACAACATTGGTATACAGTGCCCAACACAAATATCTACACTCCTGGTAAACATGAGTAAAATGGGCTGTGAGAAACATATTACTTACCCTTTTGATCTTTAATTCAAAATATTAGCAAAAATCTCACCAAACAGACCAAAACAAAACACTTTGTGCACAAACACCAGAGGTGAGTTTGGGGTAGAGACAAATATAGGCATACAGAACAGTACTTCATCCCCAATGTGAAGTACGGTGGTGGATCTGTGATTGTGAGGCTGTTTTTCATCCAAAGGCCCTGGAGAACTTGTTGGGATACATGATATCATGGAGTCCATCAAGTACCAGCAGATATTAAATCAAAATCTGACTGCTTTAACCAAAGCACACCTCAAAATCAACATGAAAATGGTTAATTGACAACAGATGTAAGGTTTTGCCATGGCCACCCCAGTCTCCAGACCTAAAATCCATAGAAAACCTGTGAGCTGAACTAAAGAGTCCACACATTTGGACCTCAGAATCTGAAGGATCTAGAGAGATTGCGTGTGGAGCAGTGATCTCGGATCACTTGACGTGTTCTCCAGTCTCATGAAGCATTATAGAAGACTCAGAGCTGATATCTTTGCAAATGGAGGCTGCACAAATTACTAAATGAAAGGGCACCAATAATTGTGGCGCACACAGATTTGAGAAAAATATTTATTTCCTAAGTAGATTTTTCTTTCTTTTAGTCATTGTACTGCAAATGAAGGTTAGGTTTTTGTTAATACTTTGAATGGAAAAATAAAAAAATAAAGTTCATAAATGCTTCTTTGCATGGTAAAATGATTCACTGGCTTTAACAAACACTTTAATACAATTATATTTCATATTGTTACAAAAACAGCAAATAATTGTTATATGAAACCTCAAAAGCAGTGTCTCCAGAGCCACAATGCATATAAAAACTTGATAACTCTCATTTTTATTTTTTAACACCGTTTGAAACCAGCTTCTCTTTGTGTGAACATTTCATAATAAAAAAAAAAATTGTCCCTCCTGATTCTCCCATTTCAGAGATGCAAGGTTTAGGTAACGGATGCAGAGGAGAGCTGAAATGTCACCTTCAGATTCCTCCTTCGCACACACTCAGCTGCAGTCTTCACCAAGATAGACTTGCGGACACACACACAGATCCCCCTAATAGCTGATAGTAATCCTGTACATGTGTCTCCATCATATACATGCTGGAGGTATTGGCTCCTCTCAGTATTCACCTCAAGTCACCTTTGCCTTGTCCGTTACAAAACCTTATCCAAACGCTTTTCTGGCACGTCTCGTTCCTCCTGTCTTCCATGTAAGAAGTGATACAATCACAGAAGTGTCAAAATATTTTATTAACTAATGATACTAATGTCATTTTCTCTCTGCCTATCTCACCAGCCCAACCAATTAGTTGACAGGCACCGTGACGGCATGTCACTTTGCTGCAACACGAAACCTCACCGCCTTGACATTTAACGCTTTACGTCTGTCCATCCACCCCCCCGCACTGTCTCTCGCTTGTCCATTTGTCATCCTCCCACCCCCTCCCTGCCTCCGCTCTGTACCGTCTCCTCTCTTCATTCATTTCATATCTCTCATTTCTTCCTTCCATATTTGTTCTTGCCCTGTACTCTTCTTTAAGCTCATGGGAGCTCTGTCCATCACCATCTAACCCCATCCTCCTCGTTTCTGTTCTCTTTTCTCTATTTGCCAGGTTATCTGCACAGTTCTGTTTCATTTCAGGGACTTGGGCGGTTATTGTCAGTACAGAGCAAATTCTTAAAAAGTGGCAACATCGTAGATAAACTTGAGATAAAAGACTTTGATGTACTCTGTAATCATTGATAACGTTTCAAAACATACCATTCACTCGCTGGTCCATACAGTTCTTATAAAATCAGCCCACTACAAATTCAACATGGTTGTGATGTCACAACCATAAGCACATTTGCATGTGACTGCTCATTTGGCCTACAGCAGGTGACCCATTCATTCACGTTAAAGTGACAAGGAGTGTCGTTAACACAGAGTTATTAGGTGTGAGGAAAAATTTATGTGAAATTGGGATATTAATGATTAAAGGGGAACTCCACCGATTTTGCAAAATTACTTCAACATTCAGTGGTTTAGATGTAAACAAAATCATTCAGAGTGGTTCAGTGTGAAATGCGCCTTTCTAGAGAAATTTACAGTGTCAAAATTGTTCATCATTATAGTACTAGGAACCAGACATCTGAAGCATTTAATATCTTTAAAAAACACATCCCATTAAGTTAATGGTTATAAATGCATGGCTTGATACCTGAGACTTTGTTTTGTGGTAGTTTTGTTATATAATTTTGGCTTAAAGCGGATTTTTAGTATAAACTATTACTCTGAGATCACTTCCGTGTTTCCTCTCAAAACTACATTATCAACTGGGATCAATGCACACGAGCTTCTGTTCTTTTGTTGTTATTAGCCTGTAGCTACAGCCGTTCAACACGGCTAATGCTAGCAACAGCTTTTGTTTACAGTTTACTTTTAAAGTTTCCAAAAGGACGTCTGGTTCCTAGTACTACAACTGTGAAATTTCTCTAAAAAAGGCACATTTCACACCCAACCACTCTGAATGATTTTGTTTACATGTAAACCATTGAATGATTTAATCATTTTGAGAAATCTGTGGAGGTCCCCTTTAACTGATTAACTGTTAACTGACAAAAGCATAAATGTTTGAAAAATGTTTTCGGTTAAAAGTTAATTTAACCTCCGATAAGAAAACTGTATTTGAATAGGTGGATTTTTTTGTGAAACTTGAGGACCGTTTTTGAGTTGCATGAGGACGTAAGAGAACTTGTTCCAGTCGCTCTACTTAGTGATGCACAATTATACTGCTGGCTTCTCTGGAGTCAACTTCAACTCTCGACTTCAGCTGCTGGACTTGATGGAGTCGACTCAACGCCACTTAATTTTAACTGGTAGTGGTAGAGGGTAGAGGTTGATAAAGGGATATAGCAGTGATTAAATCATCAAGTGTAGTTCACGTCTCTCTCACAACTAGGATATTTAGATACATTAGACAGTACTAAGGTGTTTAAAAATAAATGTGATGTTGCTTCTATTGAGTGTCGTCTTTGGCCATATCCTACAAATGTGTTTGTCAGCTAACGGTTAGCCTACGTAGTTAGTCTCATGACAAAAAAGCTTAAAAGCTGTGAGCTAACGACTTTACATAGATTGTTGTTTAAACTATGCATTAAACTTAAAGTTAGTTGATAAACTTAAAGGGCTAATAATATGTGGTAACTGTAAGTAAGAAGACTATTTTGGGTTACTGTTATCTTTGATATGTTAGGTTGTGTTTATATAAAATGCAGTGCTGTTTCTGATATTTTCATGGGTCGTGTTTGTAATTACCAAACTAACAACAATCAGTTATTAATCAAAAAAAAATTCCAAAATTGGCATCCATATATGAGACATATATAGGAGGGTTATATTTGCCTATTCGACCTTTTGCAGTTTCACCCATGCACGTTGAAGGCATAAGGAGTATTTCAGCCTGAACTACTTTTGAATGAGACATAATACAGTTTTATTCTCTTTCTGTCCTGTCTTTCTCTCTCTGCAGGTTACTCCCTCTTCCAAGATCGTGGGTGATTTGGCACAGTTCATGGTTCAGAACTCTCTCTCTCGGGCAGAGGTAGAGGAGAGGGCAGATGAGCTGTCCTTTCCCCTCTCTGTGGTGGAGTTTCTGCAGGGACACATCGGTATACCCCATGGAGGCTTCCCTGAGCCATTCAGGTCTAAGGTAATGCGCACACACACACACACACACACACACACACACACACACACACATGTGCTATGATTCATGACCACGCAAGCACTGAACCAATAATAACATCATATAGTGCCTCAGTTGCTCAATCCACACAGTGTATAATCTTTGCAAGGTTTTGCTTGGAAAAAAAAATGGGGGTACATTGATATGGAATTTCTAATCTGATAGTGAAAACTGATGATTAATATGTTGTTCTGGCCAAAACAGGTAAAAACTGTATGATGCAATTATTTTATTGCAGGGCAGCTTCAGTCTAATTTATACACTCTTGTAGTGCAGCAGTGAGTATTTATGTACTCTTATCAGTATAGCAGCGCTGTTCCTGCTGGAGCAAGAAATTGAGCCTCCAGTATTCTGTGTGCTTAACAATGCCGTTATCCACCACACTATCCATTTGAGTGAGTTGAAAAGAATATACATTTTCAGCACTGGTGACTACACACGTGTTTGTGGGACAAGCTAAATTATTGGTTGCAATTTAAATTTTGAGCCAGAAGTAATAATTAAATGTTCATGTTTCACAGCAAATATTTCAATCACCTGCAGTACTTTGCAAAAGTAAGAGATCACCTTTCATTTGTTTAATTTCCAGTCAACTAAGTGCATGGTTGTTAGAAGTCCCATTTTCTCTGTGTTTTTTAAAGAATTTTGTGAACTCCAGTTTTAGAAACTCCTGTTTTTTTCCTGTTATTTTCCTTTGACTTTCCCCTTTTTCATACAAGTGGATTATCTGATATTTGTTCTTGAAATATCTCCTCAAAAATTAAGTCTTAATGCCCATTTTGACTGAAAATTAAAACAATGAAGAATGACCTAACCTTTTTCACAGTACTGTATTGGGTCATGCAAAACTGCTGGTGATAATAGTCATAGTAGTGATGTGATGCAGACACAGCAGATGCAGTGGAAAAGTGCTGAACTCTCCCTACTATATACAGAGCTGCTGTTCTCCAAATAGATTGAATGTTTTACTGAAGACAGTGTTTCATCTGCCATAATGTTGAATCCATTCACAGTTTACTCTAACAGAAAATATGTATTGTTAAGGTTCAGTAGAAGCGTGACAGATAAAGAAAAAAGCCCAGCAGTGCATCATTGGACCTCTAAGAACTGATTTTGTTCAGGCAGTTAAATTATTTAAAAAAAGGCACTCTGTGACAGTGTGACAGAATTTTAACCGTGACACTTCTTTGTTGTCAAGATGCTATATGGTCTATTAAGTTTTAAAAGAGGAAACAGTGCATTATTTTCATTGTTCCATCTCTTTAGAGTGGCAGAGGCATTGTGTCTGAAGGAGAGATGGAGAAAGAGATCAGAATTTTAATCAGATCTTATCTTCCTGTATACTAGTGAAACCTACAGTACGTGCCAAGCAGCAAATTTGACACATCCTCCCATCAGCAAGGGTACATTACTGTTTACAGGAGAAGACAGCACTGTTTACAGTACATCACAGCCACTGTCCTTCCTCCAAAAAGTGCTGAAAGTCAACCTGAATTCAAAGTGAACTTTTTTTTTACCTTGTTAGTTCATGTCCCTGGTCATATTAAGCGTGATTCATAGCATCGTATCATTTAAAAGACAGAATTTTTGTTTTCCCCTAACCTTTCATCAAAACGTAAGGACTTCATTCCACATCTCGTCTTCACATTTCTTTGATTACATCACCATGCACTAGCGGGCGGGGAAAAAATAACCAATAGTATCATATTTCGCCTTCACACCCACCACCTCTCGACCCCCACCTATTATCAAGCGAAACGCTCAGCCAGCTCAAAGGTCCTCCTGTGTCGTCCTCGGAAATTAGTTACAGAAGAAAAATGCATTATGATTTCTCATTCAAATTAACATGTCCTTCGAAAAATTAGCTAGCCTAGACCTAGTCTTGCAAGCCAGATTTTTGACTATTGTCAGAGACTCTGGTAGATTTTGTTGCTCATTGTGGCCAAGAGCTGCCTTCTAAGACCAGAAAGAGTCATTTGACTGTCATGCAAACTGACCCACCACAGTTTTAAGTTGCAGGACATTGTAAAAATTGCTGTTGGTACGCACAGAAGATATATTGTTTACTAGCTACTAAACAGTTCAAAAAACCTCCTCAGCAACTTTTAATTACAAGATGCTGTGAATTTTAAAATCTAGGATCTGCTATGTATCTTTTTCTGAAAGTTTCATTGTCTAGCTTTTAAACAGGTTTGGTTTACTATCAAACTGGCGCATTAACATAAAGGAAGTGAATACAGCTTGTAGTCAAAAGGGTGGAAACAGCAATAAGCTGAGAGATTTGACAAAACAAGGATTTTAAGTCAAGAAAGGGACAAATGCGCTACTGTTTTATTTTCTATGAGAAATCTCTGTTACGTAAATATATTTGGTCATATCACTGAGATTATGTATTTATTTTCTGTGCTTATCCCAAAGTCACTGAATCACATGACCCCAGTTGCTCATTTTGTGCAGTTGCAGAGTGGTTGGGGAGTCTGGTTGAGTGGTTGAATTCCCCAGTGGAATTTAGCATGTAAGCACCCCCATCATAAGAAACAAGGAAATGCACAGTCCCTCCTCCTCCCTCTTCACTCCTTCACTCCAGTAGTCATGTTTACATTCAGCCTGATAACTCTAGCAGCACTTCTGTGTCTGATCCACTCGTACCAGCACAACACACACTAACACACCACCACCACGTCAGTGTTACTGCAGTGCTGAGAATGATTCACCACCCAAATAGTACCTGCTCTGTGAGGGTCCACCCTCTGTGAGGGTTAGTACCTGCTCTGTGAGGGTCCTGACCACTGAAGCACAAGGTAAAGAGAAACAGATGGACTACAGTCTGTAATTGTAGAACTACAAAGAGCACCTATATAGTCAGTGGAGCTGATAAAATGGACAATGAGTGTAGAAACAAGGAGGTGGTCATAATGTTATGCCTGATCGGTGTATAGTCCAGTTAGTAAAAGAATGCCTATTCAGTAGTGATTTAGCTAAGTATTTTTTGTGTGTGTGAGAGAGAGTGAGGTGTTACAGAGGTGAGATGTCATTCTCTCCTTTTTTTCCATTGTCTGCGCTTCTCATTTGATGTGTGTTTATTCTGTTTCATGAAAGCAGTGTGTTGTTCAATAGGGTGCTGTGCTAGTCAATAAGCCAACACTGCACACACACACGGCTGACACTGCTCGCACACACGCTACAAATCAACTAAGCTATAAAGTCATGAGGGGGAATTTTTAATGTGTTCTGCTGCCTCATAGTGATTATTGACGACAGACACGTGTCTCTTTCTACCAGAGGGCCACTGAGCTTTGAAAGTCTCCCATTCTCTCTCTTTCTCTCTCTGTCTCTCTCTCTCTATCTCTCCCCCCCTCTCTCTCTCTCTCGTGCACGCACACACACACTCATGCTCCAGTTCCCCGAGGAACGTGACACCCTGAAGTCCAAAAATGAAAGATCAAACGCTGTTTGTTAGCAGTTGCGGCATTTCCATACGAGTCCCTGTGGAGAACGCTAAATTGGCCTTCTAAGAGTGACACGCACATTTAGAATACTGCAGAGCAGGAGAGAGAGAGATGGAGAAAGGAGAGGCACAAGATAAATGAAGTGTGCTCCTCATTCAAATGAGCAGTTTGGTTCTTAGGGAAGCAGAAGTAGAGGAGACGGAGGGGTGACCGTGTTGATGGAGAGAAGCCGCAGGGTGGCTACTGAGATGTTAGTGTTTTTAATGTTTTATTAACATTGCAGTCGCTGGCATAGAACAGACTTTTAAGTTACACGAAAATGCACGTCTCCCAACTTTTCTAGCATGTAATTCTGTGGCTTCCCCGTATAAATAACCACAGATAAATAATACTCAGTGGACCACAATACGGCCAGTGATGTTCTGCAACAAGCCATGTAGTTACAATTATTGTGCGCACTTGGTGGTAAAAGGAAATTCCACAGATTTCTAAAAATAATTCTGCATAATTCATATAATTCACATAATTCAAATATAGAGAAACGTACCAACTCAGATTTGTATAATAATGAATAAAATTTTCCCCAATATGTTAAATTCTGCAAATAAACAGTAATTGTGCAGTAAAATGTGCAGAAGTGTGATAGAGGATGTGTGACTTCTTTTCACTCCAAGGGCACCCAAACTTTTGCATATGACTGTATATAGCTAGAGTTGCAAATGTAGCTATTTTATACAGTTGTTGGCGGAAAACAAAACCTTGCATCTCCGAAATGGTAACGATACAGGAAACACAAAAAGCACATTCTTAACTTTCAATGGAAGTTGATGTAACAATTTTATTCCAAGCATTTTGGACTGTTTCTGTTGGTCTGTTTATCATAACATTTTCACACAACATGAAGATAAAAAATTACAAAAATATTCTAAGTGACCAGTAAACCTACACATGTCTTGAGTTTTTAAATGTAATTTTAATGATAAAATAGTGGTAAATATAAAAAAAAAAGTTTCTTAGGGGGCCCTCCCATAAATGGCTTTAAAAAATATGTTTTAGGTATAAAACCTTCTCTCAAACCTATCATAAATCAGTGTGTCGTGTCAGGCAGTGTAACACTTTACATCAGAGCACTCTGAATCACTTTATTTACATCAAGTCAAGAGTCAAGAGGCTTTTATTGTCATTCCATCTATGTACAAGTACACAGTGGACTGAAATTACGGTCCTCCAGGAACAAGGTGCAACGAGGAACAAAAAGTACAAAGTGCAAACGTGCAGACGTAGTGTGCAAACAAAAAATTAAGCTAGAAACAATACAATAAATTAAACAGACATTAGACACAGTAAACAGACAGGACAGTGCAGCTCCAACACAGCACTCATTTCTAAGCATGAGGTAGTGGAATAAGGTGCAGAGATATTTCATGATATATAGTTTTGGTCGGGTTACGTGACAGATAGTAAACAAAAAAATAGCAAAAAAGCACCGCTTTGCTGTTCCCGAAGTGACCGCTG